TCAGTCCTTGTCATCATGCTACAGTAAACTCTTACCATGTCTTCGCCGGCTCTCTGCGTCTCCTGCAACCTATGGTTCTCCGCTGTGGTCGATTCTTGTCCCCAACATCATGCTGCTTGTGCGGGTCGAACTGGGGCGAGTTCTGGAAGAGGCCGAGCATGACTTTCAGCCGTCACGTCATGTCCATGTCGCTGAAGAAGCTTGCGGAGAGCTTAATGCTGCGTCTTGCCTCCGCCCTGAGGTGATGGCTCTCGCGTACTCCTTGTTGTACGCAAATCTTTCAGCCATATTCCACGTTAATGCTGCTTGTGCGGAATCGCTCAATTCGATGCATGTGGGCGTGAGCCGACGTTCTGCGACGACACGGTCCGCGGTAAAAGAAGGCGACTGAGGCTTGGGGCGCGGAGGCGCAGATTGTCGCTGCTTCGCCTAGACCATGCAGCTGGCGAAGAAGCCGGCGGAGTTGCTGTCGCGAAAGCAAGTCGACTTGTAGAACTTCCCTTCGGTATGGCCATCAGCTCCAGCATCCAGCGTGGGTGATCCTCATGAGCCCGGTGTTTCGTACCGCTGCCTGTATCGCCCATCCTCCTCCATGTCCTTTATATTCCTCCGCGGGGTTCTTGGCGCGCAGGTGCGTAAGGCGGGCGGATGCTGGGAGGCTTGGTACCGGCGGATAAAGCTGTACATACGGCGCAGCTCTGGGCACTATGATCAGGAGATTAGCCTAAGTTCCTGCAGGTCTTGGAGACTGCCGGCCATCCGGCTGATGATGCTCGGAAGGCTCGTCACAGGAAGAAGGACGCCTCCGCATGCATGATCGGACCGTAGCTCGGTCGGTCGATGCCTCGCCTAGCCAAGGGGTGCCCTCTGGGGCTTGCTTACCTTCGTGTGCATGGTGTGAACCCTTCGCATGGCCGCGTCGCCTCCGTATCCTAGCTGCGCTATCGGTGTCCTGGTCTTCGTCGCTCGACTCAAGTGTCGCCGCGATGTCGTTGAGGCTTCGGCACCAGTGCGTGCTGTGAAGGAAGCGTCTGCCATCGCGGGAGAGCTGTGGAGGTTCGATGCGGGAAACTTTTGCGGGGTATGCTCAGGACGATGGCGCAGGTCCGGCGGAGTCGCGCTGCGAAAGGTAGGTCGTTGAAGACTTCATTCACGCCCATCGCCGTGATGAAGACTTTGAGAGTTTCGGTCTCTCCCCGTGGACCTCCCAGGCGCTCAGTAAGCTGGAAACCTGAGACGCCGTTGTTGATGAGGGTTGTTCTGCCGGCGCCGTCCCCGCCCTTTGTCGAGCTGTTGCTCATCGCCAGCAGAGCCCCTGTTGTGCCTTCGCCGATGAGTCGCGCTGTTCGATGAGAAGAGAGGAGAGGCCGTTCGTGTCGGCGCGCCGGTGTACGAGGAGGTGATGGTTATCGTGTGGCTCGTCTAGCCCCGATGTGCAGAGGGTCGTCGGACGTGATCGTGCCGCCGTCAAGGAAATCTTGCGGAGTCGAGACGCGAGGAAAGGACAAGCCTTTAGTGTTCCAGAGGCGACGTTGTGCCAACTGGAAGCTCTATCTCATACAGTATCTCCGCGCCCTTGTGCTGCCCTTTGGTTGTGTTCGACTGGACTTGTTCGTGCGCCGTTCAATATCCCGCCGTCGCCGTCGCCGTTCTCGTCGCCGCTTAGATGCCACGGAGGCAGTGGTGGAGGGGATTCTTTCGTCGAGCTCGTCGGCCTGGTTGAGATGTGATGCTGGTGGATGCGTCCGCGATGGTAGATGTCGGAAGACGCGTTTTGGTGCCCGCCCTGGGCGATGTAAGTCACAACACTTGTTCATATACTCACAAGTAAGCAGAGACTAGGCTGCTCCTGCCCTCAACGGAGGTCTCTTCACATGCTCGTCGTCCTCGACTGGGCTAAGGTCGTCGCCGCCGACTGCGATCCCTGAGCTCATAGCTGCCTCGACGCCGCCCCTGTTCTGGCAGAGTTGCTGAGCCTCTTGCCGATGCATGCAGCAGCTTCAGGGGCTTCGTCCGTCTTCGAGCAGCTTGTGCTCAAGCTTCTGTAAGTCTCTGGGCCATCTCAAGTCGGTGCAGGCTTGGCAGTGGTGATGGTGTTGAAGGGGCCCGCGGAGATTATCACTAGCGTCAAAGGCAAAGCAAGGTCAGGATCACCAACACAACACAGCAGGATACGACTTCAAGGCCTTGCGAGGAGAATGCAATACTATATAGCTATCTAAAATCATCGTCGTCGTCCTCCCAGCTCTTCTCTTGGTGTTGCAGTGTCTCAGTGGCAGATGCATCAAGCTGCCGCCGTCTGCCCACCCCTGTCTCATTGCTCGCGGTGATATTGATACTATTGAACAACTCGCCGTCACCGTCGCTCTCTCAGTTAGCTGCCTTACCATAAATTAAAGCTTTTTGTCTCACTCCCTCCCTCTCTCCTACTCCCACAACCACCACCCAAAATTGCCTCGCAATCGCCCTTTTTCTGCTTCTCGAAGCTTCCTTTCCTCTTCCAACACCTCTACTCTACTTGGCAACTGCCTCAAGGTATCCCCCCGCTGCTTTTCTGACAGCCCGCTGATTTTGGTAGCAGTAGCGCTGACTTTGACTCTCCCCGCCACCTCTTGCCTCGCCTGGAGTCGGTCGCCCATGCCTTGCATGGGGATGAGTATAACCCTTCCATCAGTATGTTCTCCCCTTTGCCTTGAACTTTGCTGACGACGACCTCGCCGGCGCTGCTGTCGCGCGTCTGGTCTAGTACCCCGCTCCAAGAGCCAGCTTCAACTACCTCTACAAGTATCCCCTCCCCTCCTCTAACATTGCGATGTCGTCATTGATACGGCGTCGCCCTCGTCATGCTAATCCGCAACTTGTAGTCGCTGGGTCACTTCATGGCAGATCTTGCCATCGCCAGCTTTGACCACATCTTCAGGTATCCCCTCCTCTCCTCTAACATTACGACGTTGCCATCAGTGCGGCGTCGCCCCGACCTGCTAATATTCAACTTGTAATCGCAGCGCCTCCATTACGACACTTGCTGTCGTCGCCAGCAGTATCTTCATCGGTCCACCCAGCGTCGCTACCCCGCAATCCTTACTCACAAAACGACTATGTCCACTCATTGGTATGTTACCTCTTCTGTCTTACATCATTAGTACCTTGACTGACCTTTGTCTAGTGGTGCTTGCCCTTCCACCTCTATCCCCTTATCTCTCCCACCCTCCTTCATCCAGGTTTCCCCCACCCCCTCCCTCTTTACTGACCCTGCCTTAGACAATGGCAGCCATTTACGAGTACGCGATCGACTGCCCCGGTTTGCCGCATTTTTGTTGCAATGGCAACGCGCTGGTTGTCGATCTCATACATGCGGACCCCTCATGGTTATTGCGACAACTCTTGGTCCACTTCTAAGTATCTTCCCTTCCATCATTGAGCTCCATGACTAACAAGACCAGTACATGTCACCTCAAACCTTCCTCACACCCCTACCGAGTACCCCGAATACCCAACCCAGTTCAACTCTGGCTGACTATATCCAGGATATTGCTGTCGCCTTTGGTCAACCTTAACACCACGAACCGAGACGCCTTCCACAACCGGCTTTTAGCTTTCCCAAGAAGCTCGACAAGGCTTGCGCACGCAAGGTCCAACGAACTCCCGTTGTCTTTCCGATACTTTCCTCTTTTGCTTCTCTCGCCTTCGCCCAAGAGAAGAAGTACCATGTCGGATGCCACCGCTGCACAACATAACAAGGCATCCTCTTCACGTACGTATCCCCCTCCCCCGCCGTTGACTAACCAGTGTTCCAGGGTGGGATGGCAAAAATCTGACTCTGGCTCCCCGTCGCCGCCTCCTGGTAACGTCCTTCTCTTCGGAGAAGGGCGGCTAACTGAGCTCCAGTACTCGTGCTTGACCGCATTGAACCTTCTTCCAATCATTTCGCTTTCCTAAGCATCCTCGACATACTCTCTCTTCTTTACTTCCTCCCCTCCTCCGCGCTCGCCATCCATGCCGACTTACGCGCTGGCCGGCACATCAGCGAGGAGTAAACCTTTCATCAGCGTCTCGTCGACGCTAAGTATCCACCTACCCTTACCGGCGATATGCACTTACTGACATGTATTCAGACTGTCTCTCACTTATACGTCAGCGTCTCGAGATGCCATGTGGTCGAGACCGACGATCCATACGCCCATCGTGGGCAGCAATCGTATTCGACCCTGAGGCTTCGATAGCCTATCGCATGTACGTCACCCTCAACCTTTGTCTTCTGCTAACGTGCCGCAGTATAGAAAGCGATGTAAGTGCCCACTCCCCTTTGGTTGTTGCTAACGTGTCTCAGTGTGGGAAGTGAATCTGTCTCTGTGCGTCCCCGCCGCGCTTCCTGGAAACATCTCACCTAGTCTGAGGGAGATGGCTGAACAGGGCAGTCCCAGCAGGAAAGGTCATTGCCTGCTGGTGTCTTCGTTTGTTTAGGCGACCGCGCCGCGAGTGGTCAATCCAATTCCTCGCCGAGAACGCCTTCCGCCCCTGAAAGTTCAAGCAGTACTTGGAAGCAAGCAAGATGTGTCACTGGGACACTGAGCAAAATCAAGCTACAATGAAGAGGCGAGCTGGCGCCAGACGAAGTGAGCATCATGTTTCCCCTTCGATCAATTCCCCTTCATTTACTAACATTTGCCAGATACCAGCACTCCGACAAGCCCTGCCATCCACCCAGGGCATGGGAGGCAAAATCTGACTCCGGGTCCGCGCCGCGTCGCACCCGCCTCCCGGGCAATGCCCTCTCCCACGACGAGAGGGTAGCCAAGTGAGCTCCAGTCGCCAGCAAGACCTCATCACCACTTGCTGGTGTCGCCCTGATACCACCGGCTCGAGCGAGCGAAATCGACGCCCTCTGAGAATCCGCCTCGAATACCAGCCTTGTCAAACTTCCAAGGTCATTTGCAACCACAATGCGACGTCGCTATCTTTCCCACTTTTGCAAGCGTTGCAGCGTTCTCGGCTGGAAGATGGAAGGTACATGAAGTTCACGCCTTTCGCTTCTGCCAGGACATACTCGCTGGTACAAGCAGCGACCCATTGGCAAGTGAAGTACAAGACCGGTGAGTAGCTTCTTGCATCTACTTGAAACCCATACTGACTCGTCCACAGGAAATGCTTTGGGACGTCGCTTGTGGTGGTCTCGATAACATCTGCTCCATCTACAACCTGTCGGCCCGGGAAGGCCCAACACGTTCAAGACGCAAGCTTTTCTGCTACTCGTCAACAAGCGCACGCATACCCGCCTGGCGATGAGGTTTCGTCCGTTGTCAAGGACAGCCCAAACAAGCTGAGCATCGTCAACATCCCCACATACATCGAGGAGGAGCAGATTCGAGAGCTTGTTGGGTCTTGGGACACAAGCTTTTCTGCTACTCGTCAACAAGCGCATCCTCACAGCGCTTGTTGGCATGACCTTGTTGTCAAGGACAGTCCCAACAAGCTGAGCATCGTCAACATCCCCACATACATCGAGGAGGAGCAGATTCGAGAGCTCGTCGAGACCCAACAAGCTGATCTTTCTTCTCTCTTCTCCTTCTTGGATCTCGAGACTGGCTCCAAGGTGCACGAGTTCGCCGACCAGTCGTCATCGTGACTGAGACGATCTTCATGACCGTCACGCTTGAGTCAACTTCAAGCTCTGCTTCGTCCAGTTGCTACGTCATTACTACCTCTGCTGCGCTGCCGGAGGCGTCTATCACCGTCGAGGTCCCGCAGAAGGGCGTTCCTGACGTCGCGTCCACGCATTGGTTTCGCTTCAACCTCCTTGGCTCCTCCATGCATATACTACGCTCACACATCGCCTCCTTACATGGCGATACGAACCAAGAAACGATCCAGAGTGAGGGCAATGTTGTTCTCATCGTTGTTGACGGATGTGTTCCAGAAGGTCATTACCATGGTACATGAGTACGTTCAAGGAGAGGACTTTGAGGAGGACGATGCTGGCCCTCAGGCCGGCTTCGAGGAGGAGGATTCGACAGCGACAAGTCGCCTTCCCTAATGATGGGTTGGTGCCCATGGTAAGCCGCCTTCTCTACCGACAGGGTTGGCGTTCATGGTAAGTCGTCTTCCCCAGCATGGGGTTGGCGCCCGTCTTCGGACGGCCCAGGAGTATTCGGTGACCACGGCGAGGAGAGGTCTAATGCAGCAAGTCCGCTTCTACCTCCTACGCACCATCGAGACATCCCATCTCCCGAATCAGAATCCAGAATCGCGAGGAGTCGAAGAGCAGTACGTTCTGCCCAGGGTCAGTGTCACCGTCGCGAAGCGTGGCAGCCATACCTTGAGATACCTTGCCTCACGATGTCCGGAACATCTGCATCTCTGTTCGGGGGCGATGCGCCATCCACCTCCGAGAACAACGACGTAGCGTCGGCAGTCAAGATGCCCAGCGCCCCAGATCCTCCTCCCAAATGTTGCTTTATCTGTCTTCGAGATCGAGCTCAAATCCGACTGTTGCACTGGATGTCAAGCCCCGTCAACTCTTGGTACGTTACAAATTGGATTGTCCCTTCCATAATGAATCATTATACTAACGATGCGATAGACATTTGCGGCGGTAGGTCGCCTTCCCTGACATAGGGTCGGCGCCCGTCGTGAGCAGAGAAGAACTCACACCTCTTCTTATGTCGCACAAGACAAACGTTTGGATCTTGAAGTTGGCGGCAAATGCAGAGCATCTCTTCAACAACTACAACATTGACCTGTTCATCGAGTACGTGGAATTCGTTGCGCTTGGTCTTCCGCAAACTTCTCCGGCAGACCTCTCGCCCAAATGCCTACAACGTTGCGCCACAACATCGACAGCTTTCACGCACCATGCTCAACGACGACAAGTTCGAAATGCATCCCGCACGATCACGTACTCCTGTCCTTCACGTCCAAGAACAGAGTCTTGAGGATCGATACGGTACCCCACAGACATTCCCGGGCATCACGAGAGTAAACCTGCATACCAAGATGGCGGAGATGAGCCAACGCGTAGTTGCTAGCACTTGGTTTCAGCGCTTCCTCTGGCCACCCTCATCGGCAAGAAGCACTTTGTGCTTCACGACACCAACGCGATGGCATCGCAACGCATACTTCATCTCCTCCGACGTCTCGTGCCAACGGCAACCACGTCAAGACCTGCTCTGATGTTCGGCGAGATCGACAACCATCTCAGCGTCCACCGCCTTCGCGTATCTTGAACGTGTCTCATACCCCAAGCTGTAAGTCGCCTTCTCCTAATGATAGGGTTGGCGCTTGTCTTGGGGCGACAGTTCAGAAGCAGCCGATGCCTCTTCACCCAACCAGTAGTACGAGCATATCGTCGACAGACGAAGCTCATACATCGCAGTATCCTGTGACGCCCTGGAACACTTCATGCCCGGATGGCGGTCTCCATCTGAGGCTGCCTCCTCGCTACTGCTGTGTGCTCGTAGCCTGTGCCCAGAGTGCCACGACTTCTCCTCTCCGTCGCAGTATCCTGTGACGCCCTGGAATACTTCATGCCCGGATGGCGGTCTCCATCTGATACGACTTAGACTGCTACCTCGCTACTGCTGTATGCTCGTAGCCCGTGCCCAGAGTGCCACGACTTCTCCTCTCCATCGCCGCTGCCTCCAGCTCCTGCGCACAGAGTTTACCATACTGAATCAGCTGAAGAGTTCAAGTACTTATCGCCCCTTTCGGGGACGAACACCACTCCGGATCTGCTACTCGTCAACAAGCGCACGCCTCTTTCGGAGAGGAATACAACTCCGGATCAGGGTGGCGGCGGTGACGAGGATGCCGCTAAGCGCAAGCTCTCCAACCCGATCCTCGCGCGTGTCGTCGTTGGTTGCAAACTTTCGAAACCTCGCCAGAAGCCCGTCTCGGAGCGGCCCGTCCTCAGGATGCGCGGCGACAGGGAGGCCAGGTACCGAGGCCAATCTACTGGACACTATCAGACGGATTCGCTAGCTTCTGTGCTATCTGCCTCGCCATTTCGTGCTACTCGTCAACAAGCGAAGAGAGAAGTTCAATGATATTAGCCCTCAGGCGGTCTTCGAGGAGGATCTGTACGCTGCTATGGCGCTGTCTGGCACCAAGGCTCAGGTCCTTGAGATGCACAAGGAGTGGGTCTGATTTGAGATGGATATGGATGATACTGGTAACTGGTGTGTCATGGCTTGAGATGATATGGACATGACTGTTACCACTACCCAATCGCCTCTTTCGGGGAGGACGCGATGGAGGCTTCGGCGGCGGACGTGATAGAATGCGTCAGCTCTACTGTCGATTCCGGGTTCGGGCTCTTCGACCGCAGGTCGCCCAGTAACATTATCAAGATGCCAGAACACTCCAAGCCGTCTGGAGGCAAAGGAGGAGTCTCCGCCCTTCAACAAGCCGCGCGAGGCTACGCCCGACCTCACCAGCTTTACAAACATCCAGAAGCGCGAACGTCGCATGACGCAATGGGACATCAAGTCCGCAGGCTACGAGAACATCACCGCCGGATGGCATCGCAACTCACTCCAGTCCCACTGGTCCGCCTATTCCGTTCAGTGGCTCACGCTTGAAGCGCCTCCTCCCCGATGACGCCCCATGGGATGACCGCCAACAGCTCTGTCCTGGACAAGAGCATACTGTGCCGGTGCACAAGGTTTCCTGTACAATAGCACATCACCAAAGAGCTACCGCAGCGACGACTTCGAGAACACATACAGTCCAGGGTCTATGCTAGATCAATCTCCACCACGGCTGCGGTCCATTTGCACAGCTCTGTCCTGGACAAGAGCATATCACCATCGCCAAAGAGTTACCGCAGCGACGACTTCGAGAACACATACAGTCCAGGGTCTATGCTAGATCAATCTTCGCCATGGCTGACCCCCAGCCGATGAGACCAGTTCACTGCCCCCAACAACACCACTGTCTTCATCGGCGGTCTCTCCGGCTACGTCACCGAGGACGAGCTCCGTTCCTTCTTCCAGGGCTTTGGCGGGATTACATACGTCGAGATACGCCCCGGCATGGATGAGTCGGTGGATTGAATGATGGAAAGTGTCGAAGGAAACCCTCCTTGGTGTTGCGGTAGATATAGTAAGTTTCCCGTCCTCGCTTCTCGTACTGGTTCCAGTTGCTAACTCTTCGCAGATTTATACTTGTTTGATACCTGCTCGGTGCCATTTGCTTGCGTGACGTGATGCTTCCGCCTTTGATGTCGACCTGGCTGCGTATGTTCGCTTCCGGTAAGTACTCCCTTCTTCACCCCCTTTCGTAAGACCATAGCTAACTCTTTCACATCTCCTCTCAGTTTGTGCCGATGCCAGCTCTGCGCTTCTCAAGGCGGTGCGATGATGTTCCGAGACTACTTCCTCATAGTAGCATCTCCAGTCCGCACCGCCGAGATCTGAGTCTCTTCTCTTTCCCCAGCCCTGGGTCCAATGGCGGCTATCTCTAGCGTCGTCTCCGGCAGCGGCGACAGCAATCTGTGAGTGTCGGTCAAATTGACTAGATGCCCGAAGGTTCGAGATGGTGGCTGACTTGAAACGCATGGCCTTCGATATTGCGCTGGCTCTCGTGCGACTATCGCATTGCTGTAAGTACTTCCGACCAGATGCCCGGGGAATGAATCTTATGCTGACATTATGCATGTACGCCTTCCCGACTGGCGTTGACGGTGGTCAGCTTTCTCGAGCCCATTCATTCGCAACGGCGGATGCTATCTCGTGAGTGTCGTTCAGATTGAACAAGTGTCTGAAGATCCGGCTCCTTCACTGACTGCAGCGCCAGGCATTCCAGTTTGCGTTCCTGCAGGTTTCGGCCTTGGTTGCTTCATCGAGGTAAGTACCTTGACCAAATGCTCGGTGGTGAGGCACATTGCTGATCATCAAGACATACGCCTCCTCGCCTGGTACTGCCTTCTCGCCTCGCACCACTTTCTCACCTCGCACGTCTTCCTGGTCACATCGCCTGACCGTTTCGCATCTTCCAATCGCGACATCTCCACCCAATTGCCAACCAAATCCGGTAGCCTTCTCGAGCGTCGTTGTCCGCAACGGCCAAGCAATCTTGTGAGTGCTGTTCCCATTGACCAGCTGACCCGAAGTACCCAGAGTCTACCGGCGTGTTCTCATGTCCCCATTTCTTTCTTTGATCGATCGCAGTCCCAATGTTGGTTTCAGGAAGTCGCATCAGCCTCTGAGGTAGTGACACCACTTCCTCATAGTGGCCTCTCACTGAGCGGCTTCCAAGAGCAAGTAAGTCGCATTTCGAGCTGCTATTCAGGGCTTTTGTCCTGTGTAAACCAACAGCTCGATGACCGTACGTGGGTTAAGCATCTTTTCCAATTCATTGAATTGATGCTGTGGGTCGTCCGTACATTTCCCATACTTCACATGAAGTTGAGGACACTTGATCGAATTTGGTAGCTTCTGGTGTCGGCGGCGGCGCCATGCATCCGGTGAGTGTCGTTCGAATCGACCAGATGCCCGAAGAGATGGACTTTGCTAATTCGATGCGTGTATCCTGGCCTTCTTCGACTCCGCGGCGGACTTCCGGTCTTGATGACTACTTTGAAGGTAAGTACCTCCTCCTCCCCAAGACAACATCCTCCTAACCACATAGTGTCGTATGCGCGCAATGTGCTCTTTCAGCTTCCTCACTCGCATGCAGTAGCGTGACGGTTAGTACCTTTGATCCCCAAGTCAGCATCATGCTAACTGGTTGGTGTCGCATACGCGCATGTGTTCTCCTCGGATTCGACGGTAAGTACCTCGTTCCTCTCAAGACAGCAGCATGCTAACCGCGGGCGGTATGCTTTCTCCAGGTTATTCATACGACAAGCTCTTGTCTACTCTTCGCAATACACCCAACGCCATAGTGTTGAGTGTCATCGTCTGCCCTGCTCTTCCCATTCGCGTACAGCTAACATTGTCGCAGATACGCTGAAGCATCATCAGCAAGCTGCTACATTCGTCTCTTCTCATCTCCTTCTTTCATGTTCGCCTCCTTCTCTTTTGGCTGACTGATTGCCGGAATGCGTCATCGTTGGTTGATCGTCAACCTCAACTCCGCGGATTTCGTTCATAGCTGACCAGATAACGAAAAGAGCTTCCGAACGATGCGACAACATCAAAAGCCGACTATCAAGCATTTCAAGAGTATCGCCTTGACCTCAGGCGCTGCTTCGACCCTCCATCGTCGTGATGCGAGGCTGGGGTCGCAAGAAGCGCCGCACCAAAAGTACGCTCAACACTCCATCTGCAAGCCATGCTAACATCGACTCAAACTTGACCAACCATCTCGGAACTCCTCTTCTCTCCCCTCGGCTCCCTGTCGGCGCTTAGCGCATGCAACACGCCGCCTGCTGCCTTGTCGCTGCGCACAAGCCCGGGTACCCGCTCGACGCAAACAAACGCCCTCACCGCTCGACCTTGGGTATATAACCACCACAATCGGGCTTCTCTTCGCCTTCGGGCATTTGGTCATTTGAAACGATACAGAGAAGATTAGCATGGCCCCTGCACTAAGGATGACACGCTCAATCAAAGAGACGCTAACATTTTTTTTGCGAATCTTTTGGCTTCACTTTGCCTTGCGTAAGGTCAGCGATTCGAACACGCAAGGCGACGGCAGCACGGGCCTGTTGCGCGCCTTGCTTTCCCACGCTCTTTTTGCTGCCAACGCCGGCGCGCTGAGTATGGACAAGCGACATGAGGATTCGTCGAGCGTCCATTACAGACTATGTATGTCTTGGTATCGACTTTGAAAAGTTGCTGATATCCAGGTCTGTCACTCCGTGGCTCTTTTTTGCGAGTGCTTTCTGAGCTCATTGTTGGTATCGGTTCGACGTTGGTCCTGGTGTTCTTAGGGGGCACGCGATCTTCGAACGCCCTCCAACCAGTACAACGACTCCACAGAAAAGGACCTACTGCCTCAGGGCGATAGTAGTGTCCCGAAACTGGAGCCGAGAAGAAACCAAAGTGCATGCCCTGTCTTCCAGAGATCGAAAAGTCGGATATCTAAGGATGGTGTTATCAAGTATACTTGCTGCGCCCGTTACGCAGATTCCGAAGGCAGGTTGCGTATATGCAAGGACGCAGAGCTGTTCCGCTCGCCCGCTACATGGAACGGCATGTCGCGTGGGTCTGCAGGTTGCTCTGCTCCGACATCATTAGATAGACCAATTCATATCTTTTTCGATATCCCACTGAGTTTGGATCTGGAGTGAGTGAGATACGCCAACCATGTTGATGGCCGATTGCAAATGATGTCGTCATCGTCGAGGTCGGTGACTGAGATACCTAGGTATGTTGTAAGACGATGGAACGTAGATATCACATACGGGCAGCGAATATGGAAACAACAATAGAGACAATGGAATGATCAAGGAAATACAAGATGACATTGAGAGCGGAAGCGTCGCAAAGACGAAGACGGGTTCTGAAGAAGACATGAGGGGTAGTCGTATCGTGCACTCGCGCAATCGCTGTCAGTCATGATTCCAAGTGCCGAAGAAAGAGCAGCACTGCTTTTGATGAAACCAAGTCAAGACGGTCCCAAAGGTGAGAGGCGCGAACAAGATATTGGCCGTGAGGGTTGGAACGAAGAGGTTTGTCGGGCACAGCTAAACTCAATGTCGCGAAGACCTCAATCGACGCTGATTGGCTGATTGGCTTGGCGCCGCAGAACCTCCGGTCCAAGATTCGCATCTGCAAATCGTCACGCAGCGACACCACCACCGTTGACGTCGGCACAACACATCTCCGCCTGTCGCAATGGCGAAGAAAGGTATGCGCTCTTATTTTTCTATCGCATCGAGCCCCTAGAAGCCGAGACGAAGCCCTCGCCGGTTCACAATGCGTCCCCTCACGACTCACACCTCGACGGATATGCGCTGACGACACCTCACAGCAAAGTCCCGCACCATTATGGTGCGCCTTATATCAATGGCCATGACGGGCTACTATCGGACAATGCAAAGACCACGTGCGCATCAACCGCTGAGCATGCTCAAATACGATCCCATCGGTACGACGCCATCGCTCCTTTCTCTCCATCGTCCATGGGCGCGCCGGCCTTAGACACGACGTCATAATAGACTGGATGCAATCGAAGGGCCCGCGGGTCCTCGCGGGGCAGGCTGGATGCAAGAACATGGCTGACAACGGACAGTGCGGAAACAAGTACTTTTCCTCGAAGCGAAACGCGGCAAGAAATAGAACGAACTCTTCACCACGAAACGAGCGGGCGCAACGGGAGCATTGGACGATCACAGTGAATATTGGATCTGGACTGTTATGGAAGTCAGGGTGAATAGAGGGAAGCCGCGCACCACAGGTGGAAGCCCCGGCAGCAAGGACTACCATCTGGAGCCATCGACAGGCATGAAGCAAGCCCCATGCTTGCACGCCTATGTACTATACAGTCAGCATGGTTCGGCGTTATATACGATTCAAAGCGGACATGAACAGCACGTCTGCCACACAACAAACAACTTCTCACTCTCGCTTACTCCAATTTTTCTTACTCTATCTCCCCGAGTGCGCGGCAATACTCATCTCTGTTCAGAGGCTCTCCCGTATTTCTGACCC